GGGGGGGGGGGGGCGTCTGCCATCCACTGTGTGAATATGTTGGCAACAAAACACAGAATGTTCGTTCTAAGCAGGGTTGGAAGACTATAAATAGCCCCACATCCACACACAGGTTTTGCCACCAAATGAGTAACAGAACTCTTGCCATTTTCAGAGTTGTTTTGGATTTCAGAATTGCAGATAAGGGGTTGTGGACCTGAAGCCCGGGGGTCCGACAGGGTTCTGAAGAGTTCACTGTACCCCCTTCCTCCTGTCACCAAGTACCCATTGTGAGGGCAGGAGCAGGGTTGGTCTTGGGGTTCACTGCATTACCTGATCTTGCCAGAGGGCCTTCCACCTAGTAGTTGCTCAGCAAAATGAGTTAAATGAGTGAACTGTAAAGTGTTTTTTACTTGTTAGGTAATTGCTTTCAGAGTCTTCTGGTCAGCTTAGCTTGACAGCCCCCTACCTCATTACGCTGTAGATGTAGGAACATCCCTTCAGCGCACAGGTGTGTGTTTATTTATTTTTATTTATTGACCAAGACTGCCTGCTAGCTCTGTGCCGGGTCTTGGGGGTCCTCCTGGGAGGACAGAGCCTGTTCCTGCACAGGGGGGCTCCTGAACCAGGCGGGGAGTATGTGGGTGCTGGTACCATGGGATGCAGTCACGTGGCATGGGGAAGACTCGGCTGGATCTCTGCACACACAAGCAGATGACAACTCCAACAGATTTGAGGATGTTAGCAAGTTTGCCACATTTTACCCAGGCCTGCGCATTAGTTACCTATTGCTGTGTAACAAAAGACCCCCCAGACTTGGCCATCTAAATCAGCAAACGGGTTTTTTGGCGGGGGAAAGGTATCAGGAATTAGGACTGGGTTAGCTGGCTTAGCTGAGTGTGCCCTGTGGTTATAGTCAAGCTCCTGGTTGGGGCTACCGTCGTCCGAAGGCTTGACGGAGGCTGGAGGATCACTCTGATGGCTGTTGGCAGGAGGCCTCAGTTCCTTCTTGACCTCTGCGGACCATGCCCAGCTGATCTGAAACATTCTATCTCATTGTCTCTGTGGGCACAGACTGGCCTGGGGCCTGGATGGAGACTTGGAAAGTGGCAGCCTAGGGAGCTGTGGTCCTTGGGGAGCTGAGTGATCCTGGCCATTGTGAAGGGAGTGTTAGAGGCTGGAAAGGCTGCAGGCTGGGGTGCCTGGTGGAGGGATTGTGACAGGACAGCAAGGATGGTGGTGGCATTTAGGATACGATAATGGTGGTGGTAGTGATAATGGTAATGATGGTGGGGTGATGATGATGGTGATG